TAGTTTTATACAGAAGAGGTAGAGCACTTCAATCCTGGTTCAGTCCTTGGCATTGCAAATAAATAAATAAGTAAATAAGATTAAAATGTTCAAGAGTTTTAGTTTCTATTTTAGAATATTAGTATTTTCTTAGTAAAATGTCCATATATGTATGCTTAAAAATCATTCATCACTGAGATCAATTAAATAGTAAGTTACATGTTCTATAATTTAAACATTTTAAAAAATAAGCTCTTTCCCCAGGATATATATATATTTTCAACCTTTAATGAGAAATTTCATTTTATTTACTTATTTATTTTTTATTTTACGTGTGTGAATGTTTTGTTTGCACGCATATTAAGTGCACCATGTGCATGCAAAGCCTGTGGAGACCAGAAAAGGATGTCAGATCCCCTAGAACTGGAGTTATGGATGGCTATGAGCTGCCGTGTAGCAGGGCTGGGAGCTCAGTCCTGGGCCTCTGCAGTAGTCAGTACTCTTAACCACTGAGCCAACACTCCAGTCTTTTCTTTTTTTTTTTGGTCTTTTTGAAGCAGGGTCTCCCTGTAGCCCCAGCTGTCCTGGAACTCACTATGTAGACCAGGCTGGCCTTGAATTCACAGAGATCGGCCTGCCTCTGCCTCCCAAGTGCTGGGACTACAGGCGTGCGCCACCATGCCCTGCATTTTCTTGCTTTTTAAAAAAATATTTATTTATTATTTTTATTTTATGTGTATGAGTGTACTGGCTGCATGTTTGTGAGTGCACCTGTGTAGTGCAATGCTGCAGAGGTCAGAAGAGGGCTTCCGATTCCCCTGGAGCTGGAGTTAAGGACAGTTTGTAGCTGCCATGTAGGTGCTGGGAATTGAACCTGGGTCCTCTGCAAGAACAGTCAGTGCGCTTAGCCTCTGAGCCATCTTTCCAGCCCCTTTTCTTGCTTTAAAAAAATCCTTTATGCAGAATAGCACAACTTAATAGCACTATAACAGAATGATTTAATATAGTTTTAAACAGAAGGAAAAAAGGGAAAAATTTCAGGTTATGCGCTAGATATCTTTAGTTGCTAACTTGACATATCTGGGTTGAAGGAGCCTCAGTTGGGGAATTGCCTCCCTCGGACTGGCCTGTGGCCATGTTTGTGGAGCTCTTGATTGCTGAGTGATGTGGGAGGGCCTGGAGAGCCCAGCCCACTGTGGGTGGTGCGACCCCTGGGTTCTGTATTATATAAGAAAGCAGGTTGAGCATGGGCCAGGAGACCAAGCCAGTAAGCAGCGTTCCTGCTCCTCCATGGCCTGTGCTCCAGCTCCTGCCTCCAGGTTCCTGCCCTGAGTTCCTACCTTGGGCTCCTTGATGAACTATACCCTGGTGATGTAAGCCAAATAAACCCTTTCCTCCCCAAGTTGGTACTGGTCAGGGTGCTTTGTCAAAGCAATTGAAAGAAAACTAGAACAGGTTACAATATTCTTCCTCCAGAACAAAATTTAATCACTTTTCTGAATAGGCCAATTTAACAAATGTGTTTAATGATTTCCGTTGCACTAACTGTGAAAGGAGCTTTCACAGCCACCCCTCAAGGGAGTGACATGTGCTGCATTCTTTTGGATGCAAAAATAGTTCTTGCTACTTCGATACACAGAAAATTGACTTTGCATACCCACCACGGAGGGGTCCTGATGAGAACTCTGCTGGAAGCAAGAGACTATAAAAAATGGGCTCTGTGTCCTCTTTCATGACACATTCTTTTGCCTACACTCTGTCCTTCTTCATCAGCTGATATTACCCTCTCTTAAGCTTTCTAAAATTTCTAAAATTTTAGTCTTTACCCACACTCTTTACATATAAGCATGAATAAGTTCTGGGCAAGGATTTGCATATGCAGGAGAACATGGGCTTTGTTTTTTTTTTTTTTCCTTTCTAAGATTTGGTCATCTGGTTTAATATCATGCTTTCCAGATCTGTCCATTTTTCCTGAAAATTTCAGGATTTCATTTTTCTTTACAGCTGAGTAATATTCTATTATACATATGTACCACATTCTTATTATCCGTTGATTGACATCTAAGCTGGTTCTTTCCCTTGGTATGCCAAAGCTGTCCTAAGGAATAAGAATGCAGTTGGAGGTACCACAAGTCCTGACCTTAAATTATACTACAGAGCTGTCGTGATAAATACAGCTTTGTTTAGGCATAAAACCAGACAAGTAGACGACTAGAACAGAACAGAGGGCCCAGAAATAAAATGACAAAGCTAAGGCCACCAAATTTTTGGCAGAAGTGGCAAAAGCATATGCAGTGGGAAGACAGGTATTCAACAAATGGAGCTGGAAAAGCTGGATGTCCACTCGCAGAAGAATGAAATTACATCCAAATGTTTCACCTTGTACAAAAATCAACTCAAAGTAATTCAAAGACCTTCATTTAAAACCCAAAGCCCTGAAACCACTAGAGGAAAATAGGCTTCTCTCCAGGATACTGAAGTAGGCAAGAATTTCTGAAAAGAACTCCAGTTGCACAAAGAATTAGCCCCAGGAATCAACAGATGGAACTACGTGGAATTAAAAAGTTTCTGATTTTGCTTTTTGAGACAGCATCTAATGTAGGCAGGGATGACTTTGAACTCCTGGCCTTCCTGCTTCCCCCTCCCAGCTGTTGGGATTACAGGTATATGCCACCACATCCAAATTTAAGAAGTTTTTCCATAAATGAAAGGAGAAGAACAGGGTGGAAGATGAAGAATCAAATGGCCTCAAAGAGGTCTTTTTGTTTTTGTTTTTAAATAGGAGAAATACTCATATGCTTGATAGCAATAGGAACCACTCATTAGAGAAGGAAAACTTAACCTGGAGGAGAGAAGGGCAGAATCTCTGGAGCAGTATCTTTGATTAGGCAAAAGAGGATCAGATCCCGTGCCTGCTAGAGAGACTCTGTTTTGCTACCCTCAAGGATGAGTGGTTCATGGATAATGGGAGTGATGGGAGGTGTGGAAGCACAGGAGCAGGACATGCCGAGCTCTTCATTTTTGAAATATGGATGACAGTCTCTTCCAATACCTCAGGGAAGCACAAGCAAAGCCATCAACTGAAAGTGAGAACAGGCAGGGGGTGTTGGCCGTTGGCATACAGGAGAAAAGAAATGGCAGTCCAGCGGTGCGGGAAGCGAAACTGGACTTCGTAGTCATCACTTGGAATTTTCTACATTTATGGCAAAACCCAATCTAGAATTTTCTTTTTCGTGTTCTGCTGTCAACAAAAAACAAAGGCAATAATAAATTGCCACTATTCACTGAGTCTCCCCTCATATAAAACACTGCTAATTATTTCATTCAAATATAGTGATAAGGAAACAATGTATTGACCCCATTTGTAGATGAGGAAATTGAATCTGGGGGAGAGAGTGTGGCAAAAGCATATGACCAAAGTTCTAAAACTCTGTAGCAGAGCTGGAATTCAACCTAAGTCTCACTCTAAATCAATGCTTCTAACCAGAAATTTATTTTAATGTTTTGTATTAGTGTTTCATTACATACGAAGTTGAGAACAGATTACATTAAAATGGGAATTCTGTCTTTGAAAAGCACGAGAACTTCACTAAAACACCAGTTATAAAAATGCATTATTTTAAGTGATGAAATAAAGGGTCAGTGGTTTCTTGATGGAATAAGCATCCTCCTGCTCATGTGTGGCTCCTTGTACTTAAAACTATGACGTTTTGGGGCCTGGAAAGATGACTCAGTGGTTAAGAGCACTGTCTGCTCTTGCAGAGACCTGGATTTGGTTCCCAGCACCCACATGGTGGCTGACAACCATCCATAACTACAGTTCCAGGGGATCCAACACCCCCTTCTGGCCTCTACAGGCATTGCACACATGTGGTGCACTTACATACATGCAGGCAAAACACTCATACACATAAAATTAAAAGCAACTGTGAAGTCTTTAATTCAATCAATATCTTAAGCAGACGTGCTCTATCAGCCTCCAACTTCACTCACCCTCTAACTCCTGTCATTCTGTCTGTTTCCAAACCCATTGTGGACTGTCCACTTCATTTCCATAGTTACTATCTGAGAGTGGCTGCCATTAGGTTAGTCTCAATGGCTGTGACACCTCCTGGTGGCTGGTCCTCGCCTCCCTTCCTGTCCACGTGTACCCATTCTGTACCCAGCAGCCAGAGGTTTCTATGTTCAAAATGTTCAGTGTTTTTACCGTTTCACGACATAATGCTAAATGCAAGGTATAACTGTTGCTATTCAGCTGAATAAAATAATGCCTAGTGCTGAGCTATGAATTGAAGCTATAATTTTTGAAAAATAAATGAGGGGGCGTATTGCAAGGGTCTGAGGAGAGCTAGAAGGGGGGAAGTGGAGGGCTGATATATAATCATAATACACTGTATACATGTATGAAATTCTCAAAGAATAAATAAAAGTAGTTAAAAAATAATCTGAAATGCAAACACAACATCCACAAAAAAGCATTAAGCCAGGGCGTTTTTAATCTCCTTAGGCTGCTTTCTCCTTTATGTGTTTCCAATGGAATGTAATTATTTTCATAAGCCACAGTTCCTAACATGAAAGCTGAAGCATAATCTATAAATCATTGGTTCCTGCGCTTCCATAACGGTTCACATTTCCCATTTCTAGAGCTTTCCTTGGAGTGGAATGAGTGAGTCCTGAATACCAGGACACATAGTTCTTTGGCCTTACTAATTTTTCTCTCTAGAGCCTCGCTTATGATTAGCTTATGTTAAATGCTCAATAATACCTGTCGAACATTACTAAATAAACACAGCATTTGACACATTGTAGGAAGATCTAAATCATTTGAGCAGTAGCTGGAAGCTTCAATACTGCTTCCATATTTAAAATTTGCTATTTACTGATTCCTTACAATGTGATTTTTGAGCTTTCTCAAGAACCGATTTTCTTTTTCATTTTAACAATTGATTTGCAATATCCCAATACTCTCACTAGTCACATCCTGGCCCTTTCATCTAAATGCTGGTTTCCTTCACGTTTACCTTGTAGCATGACCAAAGACTGTCGAAGTCGGCCGTTTTCCTTCCGGGTGTTTGTTAGTTTTTCTTTCAGGCTTTTAATCTTGGCACACAGCTCCTCCTTGGACAGTTCTGATAAGGGTGTTTCATCTTCACTGGAACTCTCGCCAGGCAGAAAGGCATTTCCTGAATAAGGATCTCTCTAAAACACAAGGTAGGTACAACGAAAGATGCTTCATAGCACCTATAATGGCGATCCCATGTTTTGTATGCTAAAGCCATTTATCAGACATACACATGCCTGTTTTTACACATAGATCCTGCTACTGCATAGCTTGGCATTGTTCTCTGCCCTCCAGTACTCAGGGTAAGGAAAGAATGAGGTTTTATGCACATGTGCTGTTTGGGAAGGAGAAATCAGGATTCTGACTTTCTGCCTAACTTCAGAGAAAAACATATTAGTACAGCAGAATCTGGAGGATCCCTGTTAGAACTTGAACTCCTCTGAGATTGAGCCTGCCTTTAGCCAAATACTTCAAATCTGACTCTTACTTCCTTCATCTGTGAAATAATACATAAAATCCATTTAATAAAACAAGAAAGCATGCCAGGCATGCTGACACATGTCTGTAATCTTATGGCTTGGGAGGCACGGGGAGGAGGTCAGCCTGGGCTACATAGTGAGTTCCAGGCCAGCCCGGGCTACAGAGAAGAAAATCTTGTCCTTAAAAAAAGGAAAGCTTAACAAGATGATAGCAAAAGTTATTCTTGTATGCCAACTACAAACAATTCGTAACAGTGTTCAGAAAGACACCATGTTATTAAGCAGGACAGCAGTCAGATGCGGGCACAAGTATGGGATGGCTGCTAGGCTGCTAGGATGCTGGTGATTATATTATTTTTCTTTATGGATGGTGACAATTCATCAAACTGAATTTCCATCATGTGTGCTCCTCTGTATGTATATTATACTTCTGTATTTTTTAGTTCTCCAGGAAATAAAAGGTCAGGAATGAACCTCACTGATACAGCACTTGCCTAGCATGTGCAAGACTCTGGGTATGCTCTTCAGAACCATAAGAAAAAAGTGCAAGGACTACATTTTTAATAGTGCCTCTTGACATTTTCCAAACCTAGAGTCTAAATATTGTATATTTATGCTTATATGTTGTTTTGAAAATAGATGTCATTAAAGAATGACAAAATTGTATAGAATCTTTGTGAAGAAAATAAACGTTTACTGAAAAATGATCTCAATGTAGAAGGATGTGTTCAGAGATGAAAAGCCACAATTAAAAATACTAATTATCCCTGTTGAACTATACAGCTAATACAACTTCAACAAAAAAATTAAAAATTGATTCTAAAATTTATAAGAAAGAACAAAAGGCCAAGACTATCCAAAGAGATCTTGAAGAAATATAAGAAAGTCTTCCTTTACAAATACAAGGTGTTATTAAACATTTAAAATAATTAAAACAGTTTGGTGCTGATGCAGAGATAGATAACATGACCAAGAAACAGAACAGAGAGGCTGAAAATAGATACCTATGTCTGTGGAGCTGTGAGTATGACAGCATCGCCTGGCAGCTCACTGTGAAGTGTGAGTGTGACGGCATGGCCTGGAAGTTCACTGTGAGGTGAGTGTGACAGCATGGCCTGGAAGTTCACTGTGAGGTGAGTGTGATAGCATGGCCTGGAAGCTCACTGGAAAGTGAAATACATTCATAAGGAAAGAGAGAACATTAGCTGACTCAGAGCCTGAAAAGCAGGTAAGGGAACTGATCCCTATCTCATTATACACATTCACACTCACACACACAAACACATTCACACACACATACTGACACACACAAACACACACACAACACACAAACACACACATATATACACCACACACACTATACACATTCACACACATACATACACACGTAACTCACAAACCATATACACATACGTGCACACACATTCACACACACACAAACACACCACACACTCAAAATCACACCACACACATAAATACACACACATCACATACACACATACTCACCACACATACATCTTCAGATTGGGTCCTGTCCCATTCCTTGTCTTGGGGCCCCAGGCACCTGGGGAATCACCACTGCTTCCTGATCCTTTTCATCAAGACCAAGTCACTGCCTTCTCTGGGCCCCAGGAGCACTGCTTCTGGGCCTGGCCCCTCCCTCACCTCCCTCTGCTTCCCTGGGCCTGCACCACCCTCCAGCCTCTTTCCAGGACTTAGGGGCTGACCTTTCCTCTTCCTGATCCTTTGCATCCAGACCAACACAGCTCCTCAGTGCAGTCCCCAGGAGTTCTTGGGGGCATCTTCCTGCCCCCTTCTCCCTTTGTATCTCTCGGTGGCATGGCCACCAGCTGCCCTAGACCAGCATCTTTCCTGGGCCCGGCTCCCAGGCCGGTCCAACCCCCAAATTCCTGAGGCCAAAATCTTTCCTGGAGGGATCCAGCCCATAGGAGAAAGCCTGAAAGCCTCTGATCCTCATCTGATTTGGGCCTCTGTGGGAACTCCTGAAGACAAAAGC